GAGAGAGAGAGAGGGAGGGAGGGAGGGAGGGAGAGGAGGGAGGGAGAGAGAGAGAGAGAGGGAGGGGGGGGGAGAGAGGTGGAGCCTGGGCCGTCTGTCAGCCCTCAGATGGAGAGTCAACAGCCCTCATTTCTGGAGGTGATTGATGAGGAAGAGGAGGAACAGCTGGGCCCAGTGCTTGTTGTGCAGAAGGCAGAGGAGAGGAGAGCAGTGTAAATCTATGGGCCAGTCCTTGGGATGGAAGAGCCACTGCTGCTAGCAAAGCAAGCCACCCGAGCTCTGGGGATCAAAGGCAGGGAGCGGAGGTGTGGCAGACAACTATTCATCTCCCTGCCGGATAGACTTGTTAGCTTGCGTTGAGAGAGAAGCTTTTTGCCAGGGCTGCTGGCGTTCCTAATAAAAGAAACATTTATTTAATATTTACAAAGGGTTTGTTGTGTTTGGGAGCTGGGTCGGGACAGCTAGTCCTCAACATACAACAGTTAAGACCATTATAGTTACAACTATGAAAAAAGTGATGGGACTGTTTTTCACACTTACAACTGTTCCTGATGGGTTGCAGTGTCCCAGGGTCATATGGTGAAGCAAGGTCAATGGAGAAGCGAGATTCCATCGACAAGGCAGGTTACTTAACTTATCAACTGCATTGATTCACTTAACAAATGAGGTCTGTTCTGACCTAGGCTTCCCCAAAAAGCACCAAGCAGAACATAAACCCATTTAAAATAGAGTCCACTGGAGCGAGTGGTTGATGAATGCAAAAATAATTAAAATTATATACTAATAGATAGCATCGTGTTTAACAGGAAGCAGTCCCTATCCTGGAATGCCTGTGGATTCCAAGTTCTATAAAAACATTAAGGAAGGATACAGAATGTTTAGTCCAGAATATGCACCTCCAGAAATGTGAGTCTGAATTTATTTAAACTTTAAAAACTCCGATTATCCAATTTTGATGAAAATGCTGGGTTTATTTTATGCTGTTTTTTCTAAAAGTTTCAGTAGTAGATAAAAGCAATTTCGTTGTATTTATTTTGTACAATGACAATAAAGACTATACTATACTAAAAGGTCCCTTCTCGCATTTTCATATATTTACAAATTTTGTAGAATTCTGTTTGAATTGATCCTGGGGAAAAGAAACGGCGTTACAATTAGCCATGGCACTATTTTTTTTTGTTCCATTGTGACCACAGGTCTTCCTCGGTCAATATCCCACATTTATCTACCCTTGCATGCATTGTCCAATATTTCCAAATCTTTTGAAATTAAGGTGCTCATTAAATTAACCCATTGTGGTGTGTGACCTCATATGCATAGAAGATTGTTGTTGCTAGTTGCGAAGTTGTGTCCGATCCATTGCAACTGCATGGACAACATTTCTCCAGGCCTTCCTGTCCTCTACCATCCTCTGGAGTCCATTACTGCTTCAGTGACTCCATCCAGCCATCACATTCTCTGTCGTCCCCTTCTTCTTTTGTCCTCAAGATTTCCCAGCATTAAACTCTTCTCCAGTGAGTCCTTCCTTCTCATTA